CTTCATCAGCCATTTTCTCCAAACACAGGATCTGGGAATAGGCCACTATTGCGCTGACACCCTCATATTATCATGTAAGCTTATCACGATTCGCATCAATTTCTATGTAAAGAAATATGAAGCGACTCATATATATTTGCCCAAAGAGGGTTCTCTTGTAGCCAGTCACCTCGCACGCCGGCCATGTTGAAGTTGGTATAATCAAACTCGGCCCTGCTGTTTTTAAATATTACGACAGGCGTTAAATTTTACTTAATTTAAATTGAGAATTCCTTGTCATGTGATGTGTCACAGATTACTTGTACCGGCTGCTGTATAGTAGGTGTAATTCACCATGCTCACATGCATGGTTGGTTCAGCGAACGAAGGGTCAGACACAGTGCCGGGTGTAACCCTCCACACAATTGTTTTATAGAAAAACCAGGAATTGACCACATCAAATGAGGTAACAAAGCACTCTGAAAAAGCTTTTAGCAAATTTGGAGCCAGAAATTAAAACTTGTGACAGTTTGTAGAGATCTTTGAATTATTGCGTTTTTGAAAGTTGTTACCAAAATTTTATTTGAAAACCTTTTCCATTACTTTCTCTATCAGGAACTAAAAGATAACTACTTTATTTTGCTTATCAAGGCTGCTGCTACAAAATATGTAATAATTACACCATTGCCATGGAAAGGTCAACGATAATATTTACAACTCAAAAATCAAGCAAATTGATACCACCCAAGGGGACAAGACCTCCACTCTGGCACATTACTCAAGACATAACTGTTTCAGTTCTAGCATTACAAAGCTAAGAAATTGAGAAAATGTGGGGGAAAAAGTTTTTTGGATGAAAAAAGGTAGCTGTGAAGAGAAATAGGCTTATCGAAAGGCTAGTCCAGACTAGAAAACTACTTACTACAGAAAGACTGTGCCATTCCATGTCTTCACTAGTTTTATTTACCAAAGACTGTTAAATACGAGGAAAAACAAATGAAAATGCTTCACGCGAGTTTTAGAAAATATATTTAGAAATAGGACAACTTTCGGACACTAATTTAGACAAACTCATTTTTTTCAGAATATTGTACATGACCTGTTTTTAAGACCTGAGTTTTTACAACAGACTTTGTTAAAGCAAAAATCGCTATCCCCCAATTTTATAGTATTGATATATTCACGTTCTTTTGGCATTCTCGAAAAAAAGGAGCTGTAGCTGAAAATGAGACAAACATAATATATTTTACTGTCCCTTATTTTATGTGTGGAGATAATTTAAAAAAGCAGTTTGGAGCAGTTTTTGAGAAAAAATAATTTCGTAAATTTCAAGATCAAATGACGCAAACAATACTCTTCTTATCAAAAAATTGTACATGACCTTTTTTAAAGAGCTAATTTTGTCCAACAGTGTCTAAGGCAAAACTCTTTATCTACAATTTTGAAGTTGCGGCTAGCGCCATACATTTTACTGTCCTTTATTACAAAAGTGAAGAAATTTTGAACAAAAAAATTAGAGCGGTGTCTGAGGGTAAAATGCAATAATTTCGAGAGCAAATTTCGCAAAAACTACTAATTTTGTCAAAAACTTAAGTGCATGAATTCTTTTAAAGAGCTAATGTTGTACAACATACTTTGTGTGGAGTAAACATTTCTATCTTCAATGTTTCAGTTTTAAATTTTGTTTCTTGCAATTTTCAAAACATTGGGGATGTCAAGGAAAATAAGATCCAAACCATTGTTTAAAAAGTGCTTCGCACTATATTCGAAAATTTTAAATGAGGCTTATGTGAAATACCTTTAAAAGTCCATTTGAAACTTCCAAAGACACGCAACAGGGATATATTCACTATTTCGTTTCCAGGCAAGAAGGCGTTTTCTGACGCGCGCGCGTGCGTGTGTGTATAAAAATGAGTTTTATTTACCGAGAGTGCAAATATGCTCTTTCCACATTCTATTATTATCTACTAATTTCCAATTATTATAAAATATAAAAAATAATTGGAATATTAGACATTTCTATTCATAACATGATCTTAACTTCTTGCATTTTTGTGTTCAATAGCATCCTTAGTGTTTACTTCAGTCACTGAGAACATTCTTTTGTTTTTCTTTTCAGATGAGCTGAAATATTTTGTTGTTTACTTTGGACCTGCTTATAATACAGCTAGTGAGCATTATATGTAACTGAGATTATACCTTCAAACAAACACAATAACTTTGGAAAATATAATTATATTTGTTACTAATTTGTGTTAAGTGTTCATTAGCAACAATGAATCTCTAACCTCTCTGCTTTAATTGCGGAAAGTTCTCTTATAAACAATTTAAAAAATTCAGTACAGATAACACAAATAGAATTTGCTTGTCTGCAATAATTTTTCCAAGCACAATGTAACAATGGCGTGGGAAACATTAGACCCTTCATCTGCTAATTCTTTCTGTAAGCAGCAACGTTAATTTCCAATGAAGAGAACTTTGAATACATGTGATGTTTACCTGAGAAAAGGATAAGGGCATGTGTTGAATCATTTATTATTTTAAAATAACTCAATATAATTAAATGGAACACGCAATGAATTGAACCCTATGCTAAAAAACCTAAAACAAAATAACTGATCAACAGACTTGGTGAGGTACTAACCAATATAGGAAAGGAATTTCAATCAAAAATAAATACAGTATTATATTAGGAAAAAGATAAAGCAAACAAATAAAAGTAAAATTATCGAAATAACATGAAATAATCAACAACCACTACTAGAGAAAATTAAATGATCCCTTTAATTTAATTCAATTAAAATATTTATAAACAATACCCAATATTTATACAATTATCAATTAAAACACATAAGAATATAAATTGGTAAGAAAGGGGCCATTCAAAAGAGAAAATCAATGGCACAACACGTATAAAATAGTACTGAACAAACTACTTAAACTAGCTTATTTAAAATATATTGAACTTAACTAAGCAACAACAATCAAAAACGGCCACAAGACATGAAATAAGTAAAATAAATCGTATAAATGTAAAAAATGGAAATATTGATCCATGTATCTCTAAGCAATGGGAAACGATCACAATACTGATGCTTACTATGCTTTATTCTGCTTTAATACTCTGCTTTAATTGCGGAAAGTTCTCTTATAAACAATTTAAAAAATTCAGTACAGATAACACAAATAGAATTTGTTTGTCTGCAATAATTTTTCCAAGCACAATGAAACAATGGTGTGGGAAACATTAGACCCTTTATCTGCCCATCATGATTCCTATGACTACCACACGAATTTGCTCTGCACGCAATACCAAAAAACGGCCACAAGACATGAAATAAGTAAAATAAATCGTATAAATGTAAAAAATGGAAATATTGATCCACGTATCTCTAAGCAATGGGAAATGATCACAATACTGATGCATGGCATAAATAATGGTGGAACCTCCAAAGTAGTCATTTCTTCTGTTGGTAACATAGATGAATAGTCACTATTTACATTAATTGGGTGTACGTTGGTTAATACTGGGAATATGGGCAAGAACAATTTGCTATATCAAAATCAAAAAAACCCTATGTTACTTACGAGTACAAATGATCATGAAACAATAACATTTTCAGAAGTTGCATTTAAATTCCTTTTTCAAGATGTCACTTTATGTCACACAAGACAGAATGATTCCCATGACTACCACTAGAATTTGCTCCGCACGCAATACCGAAGAACAGCGCACACTACAGGCAGGCTGGTTTTAAGAATTGAAGTGAATTGAATTATGCCTTATTATAGAGGGACACCAGTATATCCTTCCCACCGAATATAGATACCCACAATGCCCCTACTCATGTTATTTTATCATAAGATTTGTGGTATATCCCAAATCCTATTAACAGTTCAATTTTTTTTTAATGACTGGCTGGTGGTTTTATAAATGCTTGATTCAATTATATGAAACGTTTTTTTTTAAAGAAATTATTATATGAAATTTGTAACCTCATGACTTCCTGACGAGTCAGTTGATGCTCTTGTCTTCCCACAATACTAGTGAACTAAATTAGACTTAAAGGTCAGTATAACTCGGTTCATGAAATTACTTAAAATCTTATTTACACTCACCTGAGGAACATGACGCAATCTCTGGTTTGATTGTTTCACTAGAAGCACTTTCACTGCCTGCTGCTAGAGGATCCTACAACCAGATATAACAAAATTACATCATATTGCACTAAGATAAAAGCAAGGGTTGGAAAGATATCTTTAACCTTGATTCTTATTGTTCAATTTGATTCACTTATACCTGAAAAACCTCCTTCATCTGGTTAACAAATAGCTCACTCAGTCAGTGAGAAGTAGACAGCACAAGTCTAACAAAATTTTTAATTTTTTAGTGTACACAAATGTAGCGTAGTGAAAGTCATGCAATGCAGAAATTCATATCAAGATATTAACGGAAATACGTTTTGGGGTCTTTGATATCGCAAGTGTTAGTTTTTCAAACCATCT